CCCAGTCTCCTAATTGAAATGTCTTGGCTTTGACGTTTTTGTTGAAGCTTCTTGCGACGATTTGTTGTTGTGCTGCCATTCTGATTAACGCTGTTTCTCTTAATTCTTCAATTGCGTCTAAGCTGTCTTCCATTTCCTCTTGATTTCTTTCCTCCGTCATGAGATCAAATCTTGTCGTCGGAAAATCGGCTTCGACTGGGAGAACGGCTTCGCACCCGTAGACCAAGGAAAAGGGTGTCTGCCCCGTCACTTCTCTTGGTGTCGTCCGATTGACCCACAGGACTGCTGGGAGCTCGTCGGCCCATTTGCCTTTTGCTGCTTTTAGTCTCTTTTTGATGGCTTCCACGACGACATTGTTGCTGGATTTGGCCTGCCCATTGGCTTGAGGGTACCTTGGTGTCGATTTCCTCAACTCTATGCGAAACTTCTGCAAAAAAGAACGAGTTTTGTCGCTAATAAACTGTGACCCGTTGTCGCAGACGATCGTCGACGGGATTCCAAATCTGCATATAATGTTAGTCCATATGAATGTAATGACCTCCATGTTCGTCACCTGTTTCAAAGCAACTGCCTCAATCCATTTAGAAAAATAATCGGTTAGTGCTAACATATAGACTCTTTGTCCTGGTGCTGCGGGTAGCTTCCCGACAATGTCCATTCCCCACCTCATGAAGGGCCATGGAGATAAGGTCTGGTGGAGGGGCTCCGACGGCTTATGGACGGTATTAGCGAACTGCTGACAGCTTTCGCATTTGGTCACATATTGCACTGCGTCTTCATGAAGCGTTGGCTAAAAGTATCCTTGTCTTTTTGCGATTTTGGCTAATCTCCTCCCTCCGACGTGACTACTGCATATCCCATCGTGCAAGTGGCTAAGGATGGATTGTTGTTCACGTTTTTGGATGCATCTTTGGGATAACCCCGACGTTGATTTGTGGAACATGACTCTGTCAATGATGTGGTATCGGGAGGCTTTGTATTTTAGTTTTCGTGATTCTGCTTTGTCACTGGGGAGGATATCTTTGGTCAGGTAGTCTACGATGGGTCTGGTCCAATCGTCGTCGACTGGTAGGATTTGTTTGAAGGATACGGACGACTTTTGCAAATGGACTAAGGGGATGTTTGTGAAGGTGGTCTTTTTGAGGGCGGAGGCTAGGTTTGCCAATGCGTCGGCTTGGGCATTTTGGTCTCTTGGGATTTGCGAGATGGTAAAAGGATCAAAATGTTTTTCTTTTTCTTTGGCTATGTCGAGGTATGCTGTCATTTTGGAGTCTTTTGCTGCGAAGTCACCTGTCTGGCTGACGACGAGGAGGGAGTCGCTGTATACGTCCAAGGCTGTGGCACCTAGGTCTTTCGCGACGGTCATTCCTGTAATCAAAGCTTCATATTCTGCTTCATTGTTAGTTGCATTAAAATCACAAGATATAGACCTTACTATCATGTCCCCTTGTGGTGACTTTAGCACCATTCCCAGGCCAGCTCCCCGTTGGTTGGACGAACCATCAACAAACAAGATCCACTTGCTTTCGCTCTTGAAGTTGTTGATTTCTTCTACCTCTTTGTCAGCTACGGCCTGTAAGTCGGGGCTGAAGTCAGCCACAAAATCTGCTAGGGCTTGGGATTTTATTGCTTTTCTGGGTTGGTACTCGGTATCCATCGTGCTCAACGAAATGCTCCACTTACCCAAACGTCCTGTCAGATCTGGTTTTCTTAAAACAGACTTAAGCGGATAATTAGTCATCACCACTACGTGGTGGGTTTCAAAATAATGCCTTAGCTTTTTAACAGCAGTGATTAAAGTGAGGGCTAATTTTTCTAGGGATGTGTATCTTACCTCGGCTGGGAGTAGGGTTTTACTTACATAGTAAACCGAGAGATGCCCAGCTTCGTCGTCTTCTCTCGTCAGGACTGCGCTGACGACCATAATGCTGACGGCAATATAAAGCTGCAAAGGTTCGTTAGTTTTGGGTTTCGACAGGAGGGGTGGCGTCATTAGGTATTTCTTTATATCTTGCAGAGCTTTCTCATGATCGTCAGTCCATTCAAAACCTTTATTTTTTCTCAAAACTTTGTAAAATAGGTGACATTTATCTGACGATCGAGAGATGAAGCGATTTAATGCTGCCACTCGTCCTGTCAATTTCTGGGTTTCTTTAACATTTCAGGGGGATTGAATATTTATTAGGGCTCTGACTTGGTCAGGGCTGGCTTCAATTCCCCTTTGTGTTACTACATAGCCCAAAAAATTTCCAGCAGATACTCCAAATGAGCATTTAGTAGGGTTATGTTTCATACCATATTTTCGCAATACCTCAAAGGTTTGTCGGAGGTGATCGACGTGATCCTTCGACTTCTTAGATTTCACTAGCATATCGTCGATGTATACCTCCATCGTATCTCCTAGCTGGTCTTTGAACATCTTGTTGACTAGCCTATGGTACGTCAAACCTGCATTTTTTTAGTCCGAATGGCATGACTTTATAACAATATATACCTTTGTTGGTCATGAAGGCCGTCTTCTCTTGATCGTCGGGATGCATTAGGATCTGGTTATATCTGGAGTAGGCGCTCATGAATGTTAAGAGCTCGTGACCTGCTGTCGCGTCTACCATAGCGTCGATGTGCGGGAGCGGGAACAGATCTTTAGGGCATGCTTTGTTGAGATCGGTGAAGTCGATGCACACTCTCCATTTGCCGTTCTTTTTACTAACGACGACAACATTTGCGAGCCAATCTGGATACTTGACCTCTCTTATTTTTCCAGTGTCGATAAGCTGCTGTACTTCGTCGTTGATGATTCTATTTCTTTCCGGAGCAAACTTTCGACGTTTCTGCTTGACGGGCTTATGATTTGGGTCGACGTTCAACTTATGCGAGATTATGCTCGGGTCTATGCTAATCATGTCGTTGTGAGACCAGGCGAAACAATCTTTGTTCTCTCGGAGGAAGGCTAGGATGGAATTTTTGAGTTCAGGTGTTAAGTTGGCTCCAACACGGATGGTTTGATCTGGCTTTTCGGGATCTAAAGGTATCTCGTCAATTTCGAGGTCGTTGGGATTGTCTGGTGTCGGAGCCATGCTGTAATTGTTATGCGGTTCTCATGTTGGTTTAAGGGTTGCTTTATAGCAGTGTTTGGCTTCACGGGGTTCTCCTTTAATTTCTTGGACTCCCCATGGGGTGAGAAATTTGATTTATTGGTGGTAGGTAAAAGGAATGGCTTTCAATCGGTGGATCCAGGGTCGTCCTAGTATGGCATTATAGGCTGACGACGACGATTGCTCTGGGTGAATTCCAATTGTTGACGGAGGGTAGCTGCATCAGATTCTGACGCCTCCTTCTCCTTGCTGAGGCGCTCATTGGAATCCCTAGCTGCTTCGAGGTCGGCTTGAATTTTCTCATAAGCGGCCTTTAGCTGCTCTGGGATCATTTCGTCAGCTGACATATTGAAGGGTTTAACGAGGGATTTTTAGACTTTACCTAGTTGTAGCCCCACGGTGGGCGCCAAATTGTTTATGCTAATTTTTGTTAAGTGGGATTGAATATCAAAATCTAGGCTACGGATCAACTAAGCAAAATCAAGAAAATAAAACATGGAAAGAAAGGGAATAATCGACACAAGGAATTGGTGACGCGGAAAACCCAATGAAGGTAAAAACCGCGGGTTGGATGAGGATCTACCAAAATTTCACTATGCAAGAAATAATCATCTCAGTTTACAAGATGTGATACAATGTGTATATTACTGGACGAGGATGTGTCCTACTCGTCGTTGCTCTGCCCTTTATATAGATGGTTGCTAGGTTAAACTCTAGCCGTTGCATGGAGATAGAATCGTGCCCATGATTTTCGGACTTCAGTTGCTGAAAATATTCCTTCTTCTGTTTTGAATTCCAACGGGCTGATTAGGCTAAGTTTGGACTAAGTCTTTACTTATCCTCTTCCTAAAAAATAGGAGGTTGTTACTTGACTTCGTCTTCCGTCAATGCTGATGGTGCGTCGTCAAGCTTGTGCCTTCGTCAAGAAGAGTCTTCGTCATTGACCTTCATTGACTGTCGTTGACTTTCCTTTGTAGTTTTTTACCCATAACACCAGTTACAAAATAATATGCCATTAGCAACTAGCGTGAAAATGTGCGTTGCTAGTATTTGGTAGGTATAAATTAAAATTTATACTCGCAACTGGCCTATCTAATGCCAGTTGCAAGTACTAAAGCATTTGTAGCTAGCGTAACAATGTACGTTGCAAATAATAATTAAACTGAAAATTAAGGGTTTGTTTGGCATCATTTTTTGTTTTCAGTTTTCTGTTTTTTTGAAAACCAAAAACCAAAAACAGAAAACAAGAAAAAGGTGTTTCCACTTTTCTGTTGTCAGTTTTCAAAATTATCATGTTTTTAATAAGTTTAAATAATTTTTGATTCATTATGGGACATATATTACATACTTTTTAAAAACAAAACCCAAAAACCAGAAAATTGCAGCAATGTCAAACGAACCCTAATAAATCTAATAGTAGATGGCCTATTTGACGCCAGCTACAATACTCGGTCAAATAAAGATTGACCGTAACACTCCGTGACTGTGAGTTTGTCACTGGACTTAAAAGGCTCACTAATTAGTTTAAGGCCTTGTTTGGCAAATGGCTGTTGGCGGTTGGCTGTTGGCTGGTTCACATGGCTTGTTTGACCAGCTGGAATGTTTGGCTGTTTATAATGGCTTTTGAAATTGGCTGTTTAAGTTGGCTGTTTACAAAAGTGTTTGGTAAATTAATTGGTGGTTGTTGGCTGTTTATTAGATAATTTGTGGGCCAACAAGCCAAAATCCAACAAAAAAGCTACTCAAAGCAGCTTTTTCATTTTGGCTTAAAAACCAGCTTTTTCGCTGACTAAAAAACCAATTACCAAACACATTTTTTGGCTATTTGACCACCTTAAAAAGCCAAAAGTCAAAAGCTAACCAAAAAACCATTAAAAAGCCAATTACCAAACATGGCCTTACTTTAATTTCTAGTTGCTGATTTTTATTTTCTCTCAACTTCCTTGGGTTTCTCTCTCCTTAGCTTCTGCGTTCTTCTCGTCTTCTCCTAGGGCTCAAATTAAGAGGTCTAAAATCCTCAGTAATTTGCTACTTTCAATTCTTGGTTTATTCAAGATCTAACGATTTTTGGGTGATTTTTTAATGTCGCAAATTGTAATTTCATTGAGTTCCGCAGAACTAAATTTTGATTCGAAATTGATAATGATTTTGGGGTCTTAATGCTTGAGAATCAATTATTGATTGTTTGTGTTAATTTAAGAAATTGCGAAGTGATTTGCGATTCCTCACCAAGTCGCTATTGTTGTTGTTCATCGTCTAGGGTTTGTCCTCTTTGAACAATGGCTTTCGCTTCCCGGAATGAGGTATTTTAATCACTACTCTTTCTTGAATTTTATGTTTAATTTTTTCGGTTTTTATCCGCGTTTTCATCGATTAAATTTGCTAGTTGTAGATTTATGGTTTGGTTTATACATGTGCTTTATTTAGGTTTTAGGTTTTGATTTTGTAGGTTGTTGATCAGATCTGATTGGTGGCAATTTGTTCTTTTTTTTTTTTTTTTTTTTTTTTTTTTTTTGGTAATTTTGGTTTGAGTGGATAAGGTTTTGCTGAATTGATTGTTTTTAAGCAAGAAATTTCTTAATTTGTCCGAATTCTTTCAAATGATGATTAACTAGTCTGATTTTTTGGGGGGTATTTTTAATTCAAGTTTCTGTTTTTGCTGATGTATTAGTTTGTTGGGTATGAATTTTATTTGAGTATCAGTAGTGCTAGTAAGAACTAAGAAGAGCAGTTGCAGCAAGAAAACTCTGGAGAAGAAGAAAGCTTCAATGCTCCCCAAGACAACAAGCTCAATGATTAAAATCAATATTATTTCAGTTTTACAATTCATTCTTTCTTAATATTACAGATCTTTTTATTAGATACTTCTTCTGATCTAAGCTAGGATTCCTTTGTTATTATGCATGCAAAGTGCTATACAATTCCCCATGCCAACCTTGTTAGTTCTTGAAGGCTATGAAGAAGGCGGTTCCCTTAGGGGTTTTGTTTCTAACAATGATCATTTTATTAGTTATGACTCTGCTATTATAAGTATTTTCATAACTTTTTCTCTTTTTGTTCTCATTCTTTTTTAACTTGTTGCTATTGATAATGGGTCTCTTACTTTAAATTCTAGGTACCAAACTCGTTACCACCTCGAATGAACAAACCCACTTTACTTTCATGGTCTTTTTCTATGCCCAATTTAAATCTCTCACTCAATTCTAGAGCTAATTTGTCAAATTCCTTTCCCAAACAGGTATTATTCTTGCTTCATATAATTCCTAGTATGTATGTGTCGTTGAAGTCTCGGGTTGGATTTAGTTGTCAGATTCCTAGTCTAAAATTTTAACTTACACGAACAATGTCAACTATTTTCGAGTGGAGTAGTATGTTTAACTTTTTTCTTGAGTTCCATTATATACGGTTTACTCATTTCTTGAGCTCTTTACTTTTTAGTGGTAGACTGGTAGTGTTTTAAACTTTTAATGTAGTGCATCCTAGTGCCTTTCCTCTTGTTTCAAAATAATTGGCAACGATTGCATTTGTCATTAAGTTAACTTTGATGTGGAATTTTTTGAGATATTGTTAGATAGTATGTCTGAGATTATCATATATGGCATTTGATATGGGAATAAGAATTAACAGTAACTAATGTGGCTTTTCCTATTATGATTAGAGTAGAAGTGTGCTTGAGAATGTGGTTTACATTTTAAATGTACTTGTTTTTCTAAATGGAATCATCAGTTACACATGTACAAAATGAGATTACATTTCTTCAAAGCATATGCTATACATGATACTTTTAGGAGAAGGCTAGTCATTTGAATTCTTTTGCATTATACATGTATTTATCTAGCTTAATACAACTATATTATTAGAGGCTACAACTCATACTAATAACAACAGTAGGCTATGCTGAACTTATGATATCGTCTATATGTTGTTACTTGGGATCAATGCTGAATTCATGGATCAATTCTTTATTTACTTGTGTTTCGGGGTTTTCTGATGTCCTGCGGGAGAGTTACAATTCCGAGACTGGAACCGGACGCCTGTACCTGCAAAATAACGGAGACTCCTGGGAGCTCCGCCTCCAATGGTCAAGTTAGTACTTGATTAAGGAGTAATTAATGCGGAAATTAAAGTGATTGAGTCTCTCTAGGTGAGAGTGTTTAATGTAGGTAATCTGCTTTGTTAGCGAGATCAGCCGGTTATTACTGTGTGTAATTAATGTGTTTTTTCGTTATTTTTTTCGTAATCCCCCTTAATGAGGATCAAGGGAGGTATTTATAACCTTGGGAAACGTGCCCATCCTAGGTTTAGGTTAACCTAGGGCCGATTAGGCTTCCCTCGGAAGTTGGGCCTGGGTGGCCGGTTTCTCCATTAGGCATGGAGTATGCCACATGTCATGACATAACAGGTCCAAGGTGGACGAATAAGCGCGTGCCACGTGGCAAGCCCTGACAGTTCCAACCGGGGGACACTTGGCAGGACCTGATTGGCCCACGTGGCGCATTCCGATTGGTGGGAGCAAAATCCCCTAATCATTTGCCCCTCACAGGTGACACGTGATTGGTCACGTGTTACCTGTGACAGGTGTCGCTCTGTAACAGGCGACGCCCTGCTACAGGTGTCAGTCGGCGAAAGGACGAGAGATTTTCCCGCCCAAATTTTGAATTCTGAAAGTGACCCTTCGCCTTCTCACTTCGCTTATATAAGGGAGAGTTGTCTTGAGTCATTTTCACACTTTGAGAACTTTTTGAGAACATTCGGACCCCTGAACTTGCTCTGACATTTCGGACCTTTTCTGCCTACCGCCTGTTCTGACAAGCCGACTGCACAGGATTTTCAGAACTTCATCAACCGTCACTCGTTCAGGTAACTTTCAGTTCTCTTACTCTTAATTTTCTTTTTATTTTTTGAAATGGCACCACGGAAGCACACAACACGACCTAGGTTAGTGATCAGCCGGTCACCGGGGACGGCTGAATCTAGGACTAAGAGTGCCGCCTGCCCTTTTCCGGACCCATCTTTGCCCTTTATACAAAGTCCGACTGTATCTGTGTCTATGCAGATCAGGATGGCCAGAACGAAAAAGACTGCTAGGATCTCAAATTCAGACGGCTCCTCCCACAGGGTGCCGCTTAGTGAAACATCTGACCAGGCGCCAGATGTGGAAGTGAAACAAGGAGGCCTGAAAGCCGGCAATTCTGAGGGAGGAGTCATAGTGACCCCTTCCCATTTAACAGTTAACAATTCTTCTTCTTTTCAAAGAGAGGAGGCGGGCCCCTCCGGAAGAGGGGAGGAGTCGTCCTCTTCGGACTCGTCAGAGGACGATTCCGAGTCAAGCTCTTCTGGCCATGCTTCTTTGGGTACAGAAGAGAAAAACAGCCTCCTGCAAGAGGCGAGACTTTCTCACGCAGTTGAGAAGGGGGACAATTGGGCGGAGCCATCCGCCTCTTACCGAGAGCTAAATACCCCCTACTACTGCACGGTACCTCGGGGCCGGATCACAGCCATGCAAGAGAAAGTGGAGAGCTTTATTGCAAACCACACCATGGGCCCCGACTTTCTAGTGTTTGTGCCGGATCCAGAAGACACAGTCGTCTGGCCGGCTGGTTCCAGTTATGATAGCGCCTGCTTTGGCAGCTACGAGGCGGCCATCAAGGCAGGGCTTTGCTTTCCATTACATCCGGCTGTTCAGCGGATTTTGGATGGGTATGAGTTGGGGTTATGACAGTTAGCCCCAAACTCCTGGGTCAACGTACTCGGCTATGTGGCCGGGTGCGAACTGCACGGGGTGGAGCCGAGCTTCGAGGCTTTCGCCCATATGAACTATCTCAGCCGGACCCCTAAGACAGGCGGTACCGGCTGGTATCAATTGACAAGCCACAGGGGCTACCTCATGACGAGAGGTAAAGCAAACAAGTGGAAGGACTGGCGGAGCACCTTTCTCATCATTGAGAGTTCAGACACTGAGCTGAACAAGCGCTTCAATAGGTGCAACAGGAATCCGCCTCTTCTTGCAGGCGGCCGTAGCATGCCGCCTGTTCCCCCCAAGGCTAAGAAAGAGATCCTTGATAAAGGACTCTTTAAAGTAGAGTCGAGGGTCGACTCTACTTCAGGGGTACGAGAGCAAGTACCCCTGCACTGCGTCCCGAGCTTCAAGTGGCTCTATAATGAGTACTTTTTGGCCGCCTGTGGCCTCAGCAGTCGGTGCTCAAGAGGTAGTCGGCCTGTCGAATACTCTGTTGTTCCATACATTTGTTGTTTATCTTTTATTAACTTTGCTGTTTGTTTTTGCAGCTGACGCCATGAGCAAAATCACCGCCTCCAAGACTGCGGCGGCCATGTTGCGGGCCTCTATCATGCAACAAGCTTCAACCGACTCCCCCAAGAAGGGGGCACCCTTGGTGAGCTCCGAACCTTTCACCCTCTTTTTGGAGTTGTGTTTATGCATATACTGACTTTTTTTTTTTTTTTTTTTCTTCTTTTTTAGACGGGTGCTCCAAGAGTTTCATCTTCCCAACAGCCGGACCCCAAGGCCCGGAAGACGACTGTTGGGAGCTCTCCTGGTTCTGCCAGGAAACATGTGGCGGCTGAGAAACAGCCGGCCACTTCTTCTAAAACTCCAACTGGGCCGCCTAGAAGTAAGAAGTTGTCCTTGTAAATTTTAGACTTGCTCCCTTTTTTACTAGGTCTAATCCGTTTGTTTATGCTTGATGCAGCCGGCCCTTAGGAGCCTGACTTGGTAGAGATGGCCAAGTCTATGATCAGGGCAGTTCCTCCGGCTGAAAGGGAGGCAATCAGGGGTGTCGGCACCCTTGACCTAGACGGGATTGCAGGGGTCCTTGCTGAGGTATACTTAGCATATTTTTGAGTATTTGAATTTCTGGACGCCTGTTTTCTTTTTGTTTGGAAACTGACGCCTGTTCCTTTGTACTTAGGCCCTACTCCGAGTGAACGGCCTTCGCAAGCCGCTTGATCGGAAGAACAAAGAGGTAAAGGCTGCAAAAGCTATGGCCGCCTCTGACTGTGATAAGGCAATGTTTCAAATTGCCCAAAATGAAGTTCTGACCATTGATATTCTTTATTATCAGGCGCAGGCTACCGCCGCTGTTCGGGCTCAGTTAGAGGCGGCCCAGAAGAAGAATGACGAGCTGGAGGCGACCATCACCAATCTCAAGGTCGAGCTGAAACCTCTTCGCCTAAAAATGTACTCATACGAAGCATTGGAGAAATCCTTGGCCAACGTAAAGGAACGCCTGGTGACCCAGGAGAAGAGTCTTACTCAAGATCTCTCGGAAAAGGCCGAGCAAGAGAAGAAAGAGCTGGTCCGGGAGATGATGGAAGACTCCGCTCAAATCCAGCGCATGACCTGAGGCTGCCTCTTCCCCAATGCCGACTTTGCCTCTTGGGAAAGAACGTATCGCCAGTGTTCTGATACATATAATCAAGAGATCCTGGCGGCTGCTGAGGAAGAGGCGTTGGAGGAAGCGTTGGAGGAGGAGGAGCCGGTAGTGGCGCTTGTGCCGCTTGGGGGTAAGGCATCAAAAAAGGATGCAGCTGAAGCCGAGTCCAGCAAAAAGAGTGCTGACCAGGCGGCAGCTGCTAATATTAAAGATCTGCCCCCTTCTTAAGCTTTATGTATTCATTCCACGGCCTGCGTGCCGTTTGTTTTGTATTTACCCGGCCAGGGGGCCGGGGCTTTGAATATTTTGCCGGTCTTTGATGACCGGCTTCTTTTTAATGAATTTTTGTTTTGCCTCAAATTTGTCTAAGTATTCCATATGCTAATATCCAATTGTTCACTAGACCGACTGTTTTGCATGGCCGATAGTTGCAGACAGGTACGAATAGTTAGTCACGCCGCCTATGCCCCTGGACGACTGGTTGTCTGTTTCCAGGATAGACGATCAGTCGGCCATTCATCCAATCGGTATTCGAACTATTTTAAAGACTGGATCCTTTTTATGCAGGCGGTCCTGTCATTTGTAAATTTAACCAAGTAGGAAAGTGGTCTGACCAAGTAAACATGAGTATTACCTAGTCTCCAAGGAACTGAGTAGTAGAGATAACATGCGGCGGGTACCGGTTGTTTCCCTTTATTCGCCAATGTTTGTTAGCTTTTAACTCATAATTTGTTAACCTAGCAGGAGTAGTGGTTGAGAGCCCCTGTTTGCTAAAAACAGGCGGACGACTCATACCTTTTAGGCTCCATACTGAGTTTGAGGGAGTGACTATAAGTTAACATAG